ACACCCCTAAAGACGGCTATATCTTTAGCGGAACTAAGTAAAGACTTTTCCCTGAAACGCTTAAGGACATGGCAACCTTGCAGCGGTTCGCAAGCGAGGATGCTGAGCAACATCTGCATGACATGACGAGTTTGTCGTCAAACACCCCTTGAAGCATCAAAGTTGACACTTTCCAAAAAGCTGTGAAGGGTTCTCCGCAAGCACCGCTGCCCAACTGAACAGGAGTTCTTGTAGTGATCTTTGGTAGCCAGGAGACAATTGCAGGCCCAGTTGGTCCACTGCGAAGCTGGAATACGAATGGCAAGAGGGTGCAAGTCCGGCCCTGAAAAACAGCAAGGCGTTCAGTCTCCAGCGTGACAAGCAAAAGAGCACCGAGCCTTCACTGTGGCCTGCATTTGGCCCCTCCAGGAGGAGGAGGTGTGGCCGCACGCATCTTCCCAAGAGCACACATTGTCTCAAGTGCAGTCTGTCGCATTTTTTTGCCCGGCTAGTTTGCCTTTGCCTCTGAAAGTTCTTTGATTGTCATTCCAAATGAGGACAGAAAGCACCGCTCATCACTGCTCGATGACACAGCCTGGTGATGCAGGCTCATGCGTCATGATGTGCCAGCAAGCATTTGTGCCGCATTTGGATGGTCAACGTCGTGGCCCTTTTTCTAATTTGCTGCCCGACCTCTGTTTCACTTTCGGTTTCACCTTCGCATGCACATTCAAACAACTTTCAGAAAGAGTCTCCATCCCTATTCCTTGCTGTTCGGTTTTGCTTGGTTTTGGGTTTGGTTTTGTGTTTGGTTTTGGTGCTTGCTCTCCTTGATGGAGACTCTCCCCACAAATTGCACAAACTCACCTGTGCACTTCCTGCATGAATGGCGGCTCGACTCGTGCAAAAAAAATCGAAAAAAACAATCGTACCATCAGTGTGACTCATTGAAACACTCAAAATGACCTCCATGTAGTTTGCACTGAAGTCATGTTTTGAATTCGCATCCTGGAATTCTCAAGCTGATGACAAAGTCGACCCTGCAAGAGGCGTCGCACGTTCACAGCCCACCGCATGCAGCATGCTCAGCTTTCAAAGCTGCTTTGTTTGACATTGACAACTTGCAGTGAGGTTGTGATCATTTTGCTTCATTCTACGGGCTTTGCCCACTTCCACAATTGTGAAACTTTGTTTTTGCATGACACATGCCGTGTTCTTTTGTTGTCATGCAGCCCATGCTGCCCTCCAACGTGTGCACTTACACGAAGTTCAAGGTCTTTCTTTTTTGGTCAAACATTCGTTGAGCGATTTGTTGTGACACATTCAAATAGTTCCATCAAGTCTGCCATGCTTTTTGCTTGGACATAGCACGAAACACTATGGGAGCTCTCCGAGGACAGCCTTTGACACTTTTAATTTCACCATTGGCAGTGGTTTGCAGAACACAAACTTTGCGTTTTAGGACTTGGATTTATATCTTTGAGCTGTGGAAGACTGACGTGGGCTCTTCGAGAAACAGTGGCGGAGCTGGGGGCTGAAACGAAACCAAATCAGCATTTCCCAAAAAACCTAGGAACCAAATCATTCGTGGAAACGTGAGCTGTCCTGCGTCCAGTGGGTTTCCTATTGCTAGCAGCTGACTAGTTTTGTCCTTTACTTGTATAAATATGTACAAGGGGGGCAGAGCGGGCCAAAAGAACAGTCTTTGTGAGTCGTACAACCTGGTCCTTTGTCAAGGCCTGGCGAAGTGTCGGGATTGTCTCGGATGGCTCGGAGCGGTCAACTGACGACCAGGCGGGTCGCAAGCATTGAACACTTTGGCGCAAAAAAAACGAACGTGTGCAATACAGTTTTATATATACATATATATATATTTACAGTAATTTTTTTTGCAGCATTGACTCAAGTGGCATCAATGTGCTTGTGAGGGTTGAATGACAACAACTACAGCTACAGTGCAATGTCACACAGGTGTGCTGTAGGGCACAAGTCTTGGAAAACCACAAGCGTTTCCTGGACCGTTCCGGTGCAAACAGTTTATAGTATTCCCTGCCAACCTTGTTGCACATTTCTGGACCAGTTTATTTTGGTAATGTAGTTTTGTTGCAGCACATGAATTCTGAGAAAGGGCTTTGGTTAAAAAGAGAATGGGCTGGTGCAGCAGCACAAAAAAATCGGAACATTCAAAGGTGCTGTTTTCATGTGTCTTTGATGCCTGGTTTGATGTGTTTTTGAGATGTGTCGGTCTGATTTGGCCTTTAGCATCGCGTGGACAGGTAGTTCAGGGAAATGAACGTACGACGCTAAAAGACTTCCAAGAGAGTTTCACACTTGTCAAGCTTGTCAGTTCCATGTGCCATTTGGATGTGTTTTGCAGATGCGATGTGTCGTTGTCACTTCCCGCCCACCCCTGTTGCGAGATGTAATTTTTGAAGATATGTTTTTGAGACGTTCAGATGTGACCATCTGTATGGTCGTGTTATGTTATGTTTGATGGATGTGTCCTGAGATGCTGGATGCACGCACGCAAAAAAGAACCTTGTATCAGGTGGTGCTTTTCTTTGGAGGGTGTGTTGTTTTTTGTGCCTAGAGCCTGTTTCTTGCTTCTTGTTTACACCAGTACCAGTACAAGAACCAAAAGGTATCATTTTCTCCTGTCTACGCTCTATGACCTGAGTGCTAGGAAGAGAGCGTCTTGTGTGGCAGGTTGATCGGCAATGTTGGCTCGGAGGAAACCAAGACTTTTGGCCACTTGCCTTGAAGGGCACATAGCAGAAGTCTACCACTTGATCAGTTACTGTAGTTCATGCATTCCAGAATTCCATGAGGCTTGCCAGAAGTGCGAAGTGCTGAAGCTTCAGGTGATTTCAGGCATTGCGTTGCCTTTTTGAAGTCGAAGAGTAGACATGAAAAAACATGTTAGTCAGAACCTTGACAGGGGAGTGAACTCTGACTGGTACCGCTATATAATTGGGCATCAATGAAAACAGGACAATTCTGATTGGAGATTTCACTACCGGGGAGCCGTGAACTATCTGCACGTGATTCTATGGCCCAAGTTATTCGCTGTTTGAGCCAGGCTCCCAAAGTTAAGTAAAAGGTCACATTTAGAACAGCAGGTGCTTTATGATATGTTGGAATTTGCCCAGCAGCTATTCCACAACTTGGATTCATTGGATGACTAACGGCTTCTTGCCAAATTCAATTATATAAACCGCTTTGAAGGCGTTAGCAACTCTTTAGGAAAGCCGCTCGAGCCATGAAATATGGACAGTTGGCGTTCCAGAATATCTGAAAGAGTTGACCAGCTACGAAAGGAACTTTCTGCTGAAGAACTACCTCAATACAGGACTGTTGATGGGAATGACTATCCCTGGCAAAAATCTCCTGCTGGTACAGATGCCACGCTGCAGCGCTTCATTGTAGCTCGGAAGGGTGACGTGTTTGCAGCAAAGAAACAATTTATTGAGAACTTGCAGTGGCGATCTAGTGTTTTTCCAATTCCGCGAGAAGGCTTGACAGCCAAGCTTCTGGATGAAGAAGTTCGTTTTCGCTCACTGCGGCGGGACCCTGACGGGTGTCCAATCCTTCTTGTCAACTTCCTTTTTGGTGAGTTTGAAACAGCAGAGATTTCTCAGGTTGCCTTGGTCTTGGCATCTATTCGTTTCTTTGAAGATACCATTGACTCTATGGAAGAGCATGGTGTACATCAGATTTCTGCCATCGTGTTTGGCAGCCCTCCACCAGTTGCCTGGGCACATGTTATGGTCAAGGTGTTTCAGAATAACTATCCCGAGAGACTGAAAGTTGCAGTCGTCTATCCAGTCCCATCCTCCTTCGCCGCTTTGGTTCGCCAAGTTATGTGGTTTGTGGATGAGAACACACGATCGAAAGTGGACATGGAGACTGACGAGCAACCACTGTTGTGTCGCTTTGGCTATAGATCAGAAGATTTGCCTCCGGAGATCCAGGGAGGTTACATTGGTGTGGGCGAACGATGGAAACCAGATCGTAGGAAGATTTTGGGGCTTGCCTATTCTTTTTTGCTGCCCCATGGGCGACAGGTTGCTCAGTTGGAACAGGACCTTGTTCGGTCAGCCAGAAAAGCGAGTGCCTCTGCCCCTTCCCCATTGGCGAGAAATGGAAGAGAGTTGAACGACTCGTTTGAGAACGACCTGTCATCTTGGCTATTCGCTTGTTGTTTGCAGAAGCCTCAAGGTCATTCCACAGAAAACTCACCAGACGAATTTCTTGATCCGTTTGAGCAAGTAGAGGAGCCCGAGCCTGTTTGTGATTCACAGGCCACCAACAGCACTTTGTCATGCTTGTGGTGGTTTGGCTCCTTCTTTTGCTTGGCATTGATTTTACTCGTGTTTCTTTTGAACACCAAGCAGAGGATCTCCCTCGAGCTTTGATTGCTTATATATCCTGGAAAAAAGACTGCGACAGGTAATATATCGGTGAAAGACAACAGATAAAGGCCATACCATGAATCCTCACATGGAGACTCGAAATCATTTCCACTTGTTTGATAGCAAAACAGTCTCCCTTGACAATCAATCCCAGCTTTTCTAACTTAACTTGTCTCGATATCTCTTGGTGAAGGAGCCTGCTTGCTGAACCAGCATTGTAGCTGCTGCTTGCATGTTTTCCAGGCTATTTCGTGCCGCCACAAATTTGCTTGAAGTGGACGAGGCAGGGACACTGAAGCTAACCATGTTTTTGCAGAACAACTGCACACCGGAAGCATATTTGGCCTCGCCCAACAAGGCGTTGTTTTGACTCAACACGCAGCAATGCCTGTCTATAAAAACTTGTTCTGGTCTGCCAGGTGGAAAATCACAGCGAGGAAGCGTCAACATGTTTTAAGGACACATACGGCTTCAGTAGGCGCCTTAGCAAACGCCCAAAGTGCCATCGTTGACTATGAAAGGCCTAATAGGGCAGTACTGTATTGTACTGTATTACTGTACTCGATGAATCTCTGTATGACTGTATGAACTGCCTTAGCTGCATTGCAAAGTAGGCTTATGGCCAGGAATGTGCAATATACGCAAGTGCCACATGTTTTCGATCTTGATCGCCTCTGAGGCAGTAGCAGGTTCATCAATGATCCAAGTTGAACAATGTTTATCGGAACGCAGATTAGGTTGAAGGCTACGACAACATTTTCCTGGCCCTTTGACAAAGTGCTAGGTACGCTGCAGAGCAACAGGTCTTGCACGGTATCATTGTTTCAAGATCTGGGCCCTTTTCAACCTGTCTTGAACTATTGCGAGCTATCCTGTCCTTTGTTTTCTTTGGCATGTCCTTAAATTCACCCGCAGCTCAATACATCAGCCTGGCCTAGCCCAGCCTTACTATTCGAGGCTGTTATGCTTCCTGGTGTGATGTTCTTGTGGCAGGACCATTCAGCTGCTAACAGGACGCGCGGGGACATCAGGGGTGTATATGACCCCGCGTCTTCATGGCACAACATCGCAGAACAAGCTATATAAAGCTCAATGTGACTGTTGACTGTATGTCACACACCTCACACACTCCACAAATCTGAGGTTTCCAATCATTTGGAAAGCTTCAATGGCCTTTCCATTGCTGAATGTCCGTCTTCATCGCGTCAATTTACATAACTCAATACATTTAAAGAAACATTTATGTTGCTTTGGTGCCGTCATGATCCATGTCCTTGCCGCGCAACTAGGTTTCGATACAGTAGTGCCAGACAACTAGCTTTCCATACATTTTACATTATGTATATGTTTCAACGGATGGTAATCGGGTCACCGATGCACCAACAACACATCAAGTTTTTGGTAAAGCATGCTGGCTTTGGACATGCGTCTCTGTCAGATGTCGATCCCTGATCATTTTCCCATTGCAGG